AATAGAGAATATTGTTAAATTCAAATTTCATTCTTTGCAGCAATGGCACATGAGAATTATTTAAATTTAACTTTACTTTTTATTCTTATGAAACAATATATATATATTCTGTAACTGTAGGGGGAAAAACCATGAATTTTTCTCAGCTGTTTAAACAGTTCCCATGTGTAAAATAGTATTTCATCCCCCAAAATATTAGTTAATTTTCTCCTAATGTATAATGTCTTGCCTGTTCGTACAGTGTGATTAATGTCATGGTAATTTTGGATACTTTCTATAGATCTTGCATAATAACTACACATGTAAGTTATATACACATTCGTAAATCTCTTATGATATGAAAAGTTATTGCAGACTTTCACATAACTATTAATAACTTGATATTCTCGATAACAGGTGACTTACCTTACTTCCGTAGACCATGATCAGAATTAAATAAACTTATAAGGTTATCATACTAAATTACACGAAAAGCAGCATGACATAAATAAATACAAAGAAATTAAATTAAATGTATTTACTGTACTAATAGATTATTATATTACATGACATTGGTTTTGCCCATGTATAATGGGAATGAAAGCCAGTTTTCCATAGAAAGTCCTCTACAGAGGCATCTGTTTTCTTAAGCAGATTGCTTTTACCACATTTCAGTGACCTTGATTTAAGTATGAAACTGGATAATATTTTCTTTCTGCATGAAATGTGTTAACTGAGTTTTAGAAATATAAGCCATCTTGCAGTTACTGTGATAATACTAATTTTTGGTACCTCCATATTATACCATCAACCATGAAAGTTGTGCTAATTACTGCTGTGGAATTCTGAGCCAGACATTTGTATACAGCAGTTACAACAAACCATACATCAGTCTCTCTGCAGAATACATGAAATAACCCTGCTGTGAAAGTATTGGACCCACTTCGTGAAAAAACATTCGTTCATTACTACTGTTTTATTTGCGGTCAAATTTTACCAAAAGCTCATTTTAGAATGCTATGAATACAAGTTGTCCACAGGTAATTGTTCCAATTTCTTACTGTTTTGTTCGCTATTTCCACATACAGTAGATGTTAATTCTTTCGACCAGCTGTAAAAGAACTGGAGTGCAATCACAAATGTGATTCTACCTAGCTTACCAAGAATTATTTTGGGTTACATACAAATGAAACCGCAGATGTTGCGAGTGTGTGGTGATATTAATTTTTGTTTTGTCTTCATTAACCGGAAAAATAAATTTTCCATTAATGGTGAAAAGGTAAGAAATATATGATAATAAGTATAATATTATAGTCATTTCAAATTACTGCAAGAATGTTTCATTATTATTCAAATAATAATAACAAAAAGCTATCTATACTATAATTATAGTGAAGTATAGATATTAAATAATACAAAATATTAAATAAATTTTAGAATCACCTATTTACTATAATTACTACAATTTAATAAAAAAGGTAGCTGTAATTTTTTTTTTTTTTTTTTTTTGTGTGTGTGTGTTTTAACGTTTTATTGCATATTTTTTAATAATGAAAAAACAGTGACATATTTTTGTTAAAAATGGAAAGTAAACTCCTTAAAAAGACTGATTTATTAATATATCAACTATATTTAATGTTAAAAATCTGTGTATTAAAATTTCAGATGAAACTTTCTTTTGACTTAGGATTTATGTTTTTCTAGGTATGGAATGCTGGTCTGAGGGTTCTCTATGCTATAGGACAATGGCCAGGCAATACTCATGATGCATTTATATGGAGTGGACTGAAACAAAATCTAGATAGTATTTTGTCGCATCGTGCATATCTTTGGGAGATAGTGGATTATATTCCCATTTTATCACGGGAATATCTCTATAATGAGAAGCACAGAAAAGTTCGTGCAGCTATAGAGATCAAATCAAGATTTAGGGTACTGCACGATACTGGTGGAACACTATTGTATTCACAAAGCAAAATATGTAAAATGGTCATATCTGGTGGCCATTTTACATAATATATGCTTAAGGTATTGTGTTGAAAATCCTGAGATTGATGTGTTTGAAGATGATGAGTTGGTACCTTCAGAAAGTTTTCAGTCAGTGCATGTTGAAATTGCATTGCACAATGAATTATCTTTAAATTTTGAAACTCGATAATAAAAACCCAAAGTGGGCAACAATGAACCTCTGGCAAAGGTGAAACCCCCTTCATGGATAATAAAGAATATATTATGAAAAAAATTACTTTCATAATATATTCTTGGGGACCCACAAGCCATGGTTTATATTTAAACCTGTAACTAAATGCACAACCCTAAATGATTTTAATTGATAATAATAATCCTAAATAATTTTATTAGTCCTGGTTTCAAATGCATACTGACAACCTTTATCATTATTGTTCTTCCCTCTGAATTTCTTGTTTCCATCATTTATGTTTAAAAACTCTTGACTACCAGAAATAACTTAATAGGCTCGATATATATATATTTTAGTGTTGGTATGCCAGTCATGATTTACAATAGTAAGTCACTATAAATTAGCATTGCACTTAATTTATCTTAAACTTAGCAATAAGATTTACTGCACCGAAATTCAGTTTCTTCCAAAAAGTCAAATGTTTCCCTTTCGTCCCCTTCCGTGGGACAAGATAGAAAATTTCCATGTGACAATACACATTTAATAGCATAAGAACTTCATGCTTATTTATTATAGTATAAATTAAAACTGACATATTCTGTCAAAGATATTTAAATGTATTTCCTAAAAACAATTATTTCACTCTATACTGTTTATGTCTTCTTGGGGGTGGGCAAAACAAATATTGGACAGTTCAATTTTCCTCCACCATTCCTGTGAGCGTATTCTTCGATTAAGCAGGGTTTTGCTCCAATTCCTGATTAGCATAATATGTAAAGAATAAACAGCCTATGATTTATGCCTCCATATCCTCTTGTATTATTTTAAAGAACATACATTTTTCTTTTAATTCTAGATTTTAAAACATTAAAGTAAGGGAAAGATTGTTTGCTGAATTTAGATTTATATCATCATTACGCATTCACTATAATAACTTACTGCATACTTACCTCAGTGGGTTTGCCATTAAAAGAAATACATTTAAAAAAAATTAAAAGAAATACATTTAAAAAGAGAAGGGGGAAAATAAATACAGTTTGATTCACTTAATTTTTAGTACGCGACTCAACATTGTTATTGTAAACTAGACATTAGCCATACTTTAATAGTTGTCATCTCTGTATTTTTAGAACTTCGAAATTAGAATGTCAATTTTATCTGCCATTGTTATGGAGCTGTAGGATATCGAATGTTATTTCTTCAATGATAAAAAGAAATGAAATTTTTAATACCACATCTCATTCATATTAACTTATTAACATAATTGAAAAACAATTTAATTCATTTCGTGTTATATCTGAAAATTAAAATTTGTAATACATTGACTAAAGATTCTTACAGGTCTTATTCCCATTTTCCTCCAGGAAAAAGATAATTGCTGTGTAAAATGCATAAATATTTTCACGAGACTTATAATAGTGGTATTAGAATTATTATAATGTTTATGTCATATAATGGATCTGTGAATTTCTTTTAAATAATTTTTATAATCACAAAATTTTATAAAATTAAGAAAGTAGTAAATTTTACAATTAAAATATGAATCCCACACTGCAGAAATACATACAAGAATGAAAACACTGTAATATTTGAAATGCATGATTTATTTTTTTAATAAATTAATAATTATATTTTGATTTTCTATGACAGCAGACTGATTTGCAACTGATTGCTTATACAAGTCACATATTTCACACAGTACATTAATATATTCTTCTGCGTTTTAATTATTTCCTTTTCTGCAGCTGTAATATCATCTCTCTTCCTTTTTTCTCTTCGGTCTCCTGCTTCGAATAGTTGAGCTTCTATCTGAGGGAAAATTTTAAAATATTCATTCAAATTCAAATATTCTTAATTTTTATATTTCATAATGTAAAACACTTTTTATAATTAATTAAACAATGAAACTTCTCTAAAAAGGAACAATTCATAATATTGATTTCTTTAACTTTCAATTTTTTTCCCTTTATAATTTTTAAGACTGTTTATAGATCAAGAGGATTTAATGATTATTATTTTAAATTCTTAAAATCTTGTTGTTAATAAAAGACATACTCTGTATATAATGTTCGCAATAAAGAATTGAAATAACTCTTTTGTATGAGAAATATTAATTTACATCTGTTATAATTAATTTATACCAGCGGTTCTCAGCCGGTGGTATGCAAAGAAACAAAATATTTTTAACTATGAAATTCAAAAATCTCATAAAGAAAAGAATAGTTAATAGAAATTTCCTTTGATCGAAATTGACTTGAAGATTTGGAAAATGACACACTTGTTAACTTTTGGCTGAACCGAAAAAAAGAATTTAAAGGCATTTCAAATAAAGCTATCAAATTTGTATTGTCTTTTCGCACAACCTGTTTGTGTGAAAAATGATTTTTTCCATGTTAAATTTGAAATATAAATACTCATCCAAAATAAAAAGTGGATCCTAATTTACCATTAAATGAAATAAGAGCAGACATAAAGAAATTAAATATTAAAGTATTATAACTGAAATTTTGATAATCAAGTGAATAATTAATTTAATTAAATTTAATTTTGATAATTAAGTAATCATCAGTTTTTAATCTAATAGTTTTTTATGTGTACATATTTAATACAAAGAGTGTGCAAATGGCAATATATATATATATTTTAATATTTCTATTGAGGAATTGAAAAATAAATATTGAGGAATTGTAAAATTAGTGGTGGTATTAATGTTTTTCAGTTTTTGCTTAGATGGTACACTACAGTCAAAAGGTTGAAAACCGCTGATTTATACCATTAAAGTTTTTCTGTTGGGAGGAAAAAGAAAAGAAGAATCCAGAAAACATTAGATTTTATGTAATAGATACAAACTTGTCATTCCTAAATGCCATTGCAGATTTCCTCGTGATAAAGGTGTGGAATTTTCTAATGTAAAAAAGAAAAAAGCATAAAATAAGCACAATTTACTCAACAATCTTGACTGAAATATACATGCTTTCAGAGATAGCATAAAGCAAGAAAAGTTTACTCAACAATCTTGATTGAAATATACATGCTTTCAGAAATAATATACAAAGCATACTGCATAATCAAAGTTATGAGTTTATATACTATGAGATACTATACATGTTTATAATATACCACGTTCCTGTACACCTAACACCTCGTCCACAATTTTCTATACAATTCATTAAAGATAGTTCCTGAAACATAACTGACTTAAGAGAAACATGCATACTTCTAATTTATGCACAATAATTTGACAAACATTGATTTCAGGTAAAGAGCTACATGTATTATATCAAAGAAAGAATGAATAAGTGTAATTTGCCTTTATCCTACAAATACTTAAAAACATTTACATTAAAAAAATGAATTATACATAATGGTAGCAAATTTTTAATGAAAAACAAAACAAGAGTTGAAAACTTAATGCAGTTTTTGTCAATATTTTACTCTCTTAAAATTTATATAAATGTATAGAAACTTGAAATGCATACCGCATTTGGCTGGAAAACTTGTGGTATTGTGCTGCACTCTAGGGAAAGGGAAAAAGTATACAATGAAGCAATCATAAGAATAAAAGATATTTGCATATTATTGAAACCACCTTAATAAAAGTTACCAAATTTTCAAAAATGTGCCAAACTCTGGCAACGATTATGTATCAAAATTTTTCAGGTAACATGCTCATGACAATTTTTCATTCAAGCAATGTCACCATTTTCATATGTGTTTCTTATGTTGTATTTCAAGTTCCAATGGATTTTAGATACGAATAGTTGTTTTAGATTAATTTCAGATTTAAAATACTGCTTGTGGAGCTTACCATCAAAAGACGAAGCTGTGTTAAAAGTTCTGCAGGAATAGAACATTTTAGTACAAAAATTTCTAATGGAAACAACTATGAGATGAATTTGGTACATAGACAAGGCATGCAGTATCAAGTTTATGTAATTCTCTGATTTTTTTTTTTTTTTTTTTTTAAGTGAAAACAGATCACTTGGCACAAGTGCTAATTAGACAAAAAATTTGTGGAAAATGTTTTTTTTAAAACTATCATATAATTTTTATTTAATAATTCAAATTAGTATTTTAAAATTTGTTAAATGTTTTTTCCTTTGATATGTTGATAACATTTTGCCAACTTAGATAAATATTGATAGTTTGGTTATGCTAAAAGCAAGCTGCAAAAACAAACGTACTTCTCCTGATAAGTATTTTTCTCTTTCATCATTATAAAGACCACCAAACTGATCCAGGTGTTTGTGTTAATACGTAAGTACCAAAAAATATTGAAGAATGCACAATGAAAGATGGCAACCAGTATGGTAAAAGATATAATTAATATATGCAATGAAAGAAATCTTATTAAAAGACGACTTTCATTATCAGCAGAGAAAGCATGACACAGTTACAGTAAAGAAATTAAGCTTTTGTTTCTGCACTTGTAGCTTTTAATAGCCAAAAATTGTTTTTTGAAATTTTATGAAATAAATAAATCTGAATATAACTGATATCAAATGAGAATGGGTCCAAACTTTCACTTAAGAAGCAGAAAGTGCACTGTAAATGCACAATATAATGAGCAGAACACAAAGCATAAACATTGAAAAAATGAAGAAAACACTCATGCAGCCAGCTTTTTCACCTGGATTAAAAAGAGACTGGGATAGCGGTGTTCAGCAGGCTTATCTACTTGTAGATAGATGGGCTTATTAATTACTATATAATTCAAGAACTAGTTAATTTTCATATGGTAAACATGCCTACTGTCACTGAAGAATCATGCATCTGCATTAAACAATAAAAATATAACACAAATTTGAATTTTAAATTAAACTTACTATTAGAAGAATTAAAACCAAATGCTGTAATTTGAAAATGGGAAAAAAAAATGTGGTTTATATTTGAAAAAGCAAGTATTTTTGTCTGAAAAGTAAAATATATTTTACACACACCTGTTGCTCTAGATTACTTTGGAGGGAATCTATAAGATAAAGTAAATACAGTTGTACACATTACATTACATGTCTGCATATTTCCTTCGTTTTCAGGTCTGGAACACTTCGTTACACCACACTACAACGCAGTAAACACTTGACCATAAGCTCAGAGGAATTATGGGAACTGATGTTTTTTGTTTACATCGACACGCAGTCTCATTGGATATTGATGTAGTTTATCGGACAAGCTCTCCTGGCACGAGAGCAAACCAGCTCCCCATTGCAATTTTGACGTCATCAGTTACCAGAGCGGTAAAGCGTTGCACTTGAATTCGACTTTAGCAGCCGATAGCAGGAACGCCTCTTGCGAGCTAACATTTGCAATTTATCAGAGCGTTGCACTTGAATTCGCCCCTTAGTTATTAAAATATGCCCTATGATAATTAGTATCTCGTAAACAAAATACAGGGTGTTTATAAAGTTTCGGACCCATTTTGATGTTTAATAACTCATAAAATAATAAATATAGAATAAAATTAATAACATAAATGGTTAAATAGACTCAAAAAGTTTCATGACCGTTGTCAATGAACTTCCACGTGTGCCCCCTTCGTCGCACGGAGAATATCAAGTCGATATTCAATTTCACGCCAGGTACCGGCAAGCATGTCGGCATCCACAGAGGCTATTGCGGTTGTAATTCTAGATTTTAGGTCATCAATGTTCGACACTCTTCTCCTGTAAACGTTATCCTTTACAAATACCCAAAGGAAAAAGTCCAGCGGCGTTATATCAGGTGATCTGGGTGGCCAAGAAATTGGTCCTCCTTGCCCAATCCATCTTCCTGTAAAATGGTCATTCAAAGAACTACGAACGATGGTACTCCCAATGAGGTGGTGCACCATCTTGTTGCAAAAAGACATGTGGCTGAAGCTCTTCTAGTTGTGGAATTACGAAGTTTTCCAACATGTCTAAGTATACGACTGATGAGGCCGTCTTTTCTGTAAAAAAGAAATTTAAACTGGAAAATGAAATTATCTGAAATCAACCACACGCGCAGACGATATTTACAAAGGTAAAGCTATTCAAACATGAAAAGGAAAATATATAAGTTATTCCATCAATAAATGGCATAAGTTTCTTTATATCTTCATTATTTTATGAGTTATTAAACATTAAAATGGGTCCAGGACTTTATAAACACCCTGTACTTAACTGGTTTTGAATTATTTGCATTTTAACTTTGGTAAAAAAATCCTATATACTATAATTTAATCAGCTTATTACCCGTAAAATACGCGGTTCATTGCGAAAAATTACCAAAATGGTTCAATACATAAAGGAAACATACTTATGTAAATTGATGTGAATCACTAGGGCATACTTGATCAAGTAGGACCAACCCCTTATCGAAATGTTGGAAGCCCGTGAGTATCAATAATAAATGATGTAAAACACATTAAAATTCATATTAATACGAAGGTGAATTAAAATCGTCAACCTTATTTCAACTCCTCTAGAACGTGGGAATGCAAGTTGTTGTCAAGATATAAAATGTAACGGCATAAATTGTCGAGTGAATATGAAATTTTGTGTTATGTTGAGTGTAATATGTTTAAGCGATACATTTTAGTCTGAAGGTTTTAAGATAAAACTGTATGGATCAGTCGCATTTAAAGCATTTTTCATCAGTCATCATTGCTCCTGATCATTTGGAGTTGCGGACTGTTAAGGTGAGGTTGCGTTTTCAGAGCTGCGGTCCACTGGAAGCTGTTCTTCAAGTTTTGGGTAATCTATCTTTTTTCTTATACCCCGATGCCAGCACCTATTGAGTTGTAAATTCAAGGAGCGAGTTAGGTATAGAAACGATGGATGAAGCGGAATTTTAGGAAATAGATAGGTGATTATGATCTTAGTCTCTATTATCGAAGACTGATCTTGATACTATCGCTAATCTAGTTAAGGAACGCGAAAATTTAATGACTTCAGGATTAAAATCTAAAGTAGTAACTAAGAGAATTCAGGAATCAACTAACCAATTAAACGCTACAGGTACAAAATCAGGATAACTCCGAAATTAAACGAAAATCTAGCACAAAAATTGTATTATTTTTAAATGCTCAGTGACGATTACAAGTTGTACACAAACATCATTTATTCTACATTGCTGACAGACAGACAGAAAAAATAGACAGATGTCTTGTTTTGCACCCGCTAAGTCTTTTTGCACCGATGGGCGAAAAATCAAGCATAGGTGCGAAGGAAAGGTATATAGAAAGGGGGACAATTTCGTATTTGAGGAGAGTAAAAAGGAACTTCGTACATTTTGTACGAGTTCAAAAGGCCAGAAAGAAAAGATAGGACAAAATAAAATTTAAAATAAATGGCCCAAAAATAATAGAGGGGGGGAAAGGGCCTATAGAAATAAAAGGAAAAGAAGTAGAAAATATCCTAAAATACGATTGTGTCCATGAGTGTAGTTAAAAGGAGTTCATTTGCAAAAATTCCTGTCTTTAAGAAGCAAACTTTAGCTAAGTTAAAAAAAAAATAAATGAATTCCTACATGGTAATGTGTATGCCCTTATCTTGAGACTTAACTAGAAAAGACATATATCATCACAGAGATGTACATAATATTTTAACTAAAGTAACATTAACTATTACCGTTCCCTAAAAATTCATGTATATTTCAGAAAAACAGTAATTGACAAAATCATAAATCCATACACAGTGTGAGAGCATTTCAGCAAAAATAAATTATACAGTTTATTTTTCTTAAATATTAGTTAAATATAAAATTAATTTATTAATTTAACCGTTGTAATTTATTATAGTACAAGTTTAACAAATTCTGTCACACTGGCCTGGAAGAAAAATTGAATAATAGATACAGTTACAGTTACATATATAACATTTCCCTTTTTTAACAGAAATAATGATAAAAATAAAATTATCTTTAAATAATGAGGCTTTTTAACAGCCCTACCAGATCAAGTAACGTAGTTATGTCCATCTGCAAAATTTGGTGATACAATACCTCTTTCAGTATTTTGTGACACAACACTTCTGTTAGGTTTTGAAGAACTTACAGGTACGTCTAAATTTGAAGTTCTGCTGCTATTCTCAGGTATCTCGAATTCATCTATAACTTCGTTCTCACGACTTTCATTTTCATAGTTGTTTTGCATTGCAAACTCTTTCTGATTAGTTCCTTTAAAAGAATGTCCCTTCTATTCCTTTGTACGATTCTTCCATCTGTTCTTATAATCCTGTATGTACGTGGTCTTTCTGCTTCTATAATTTTCTGACTTTAATTTAGTTTTTCTCTTTCTCTTTACGTACACATGATCTCCTACTTTCGGTGGTTTTAATGGTCTTATATTTCTATCATAATAGCTTTTTTTTGTAAAGTCTGTCTCTTCGGTAAATGTCATTTGTGGTCTTCATATCGTTTCGTTTGGATGAAATTCTCTTTTATAGGTATCAATCCATTTACTTTTCTTCCAATCATCAATTCTGAAGGTGACTTAATTTCATCTCAAATAGGAGAGTTATGATATTCCAGTAATACTAATTATGTATCCTTATTGTCAATTACGGCTTTTTCTACCGTTCGCTTGACAATTTCAGTATGTCTTTCAACCATTCCATTAGATTGTGAGTAATTTGGGCTTGAAAGATCTGGCTTCAAAATTTCATCTTAAAAATTCTTTAAATTTCCTGCAACTATATTGTGGACCATTATCCGCATATACTATTTTCGGAATATCATGGCTTGCAAAAATTGATTTCAATTGCTTTATCACTGCTACACTTGACAAATCTTCCGAATGCCAATTTTCAACATATATTTGGTAAAATAATCTATAACTATTAGATAATCCTTTCCTTGAAAGTAAAAGAGATCGGTTCCCAATACTTCCCATAGACCATTAGGTATTTCTTTAGATATCATTCGTTCTTTAGTATTAGCTTTTTGTAAACTTGAACATGTTGGACAATTCAGTACCAAATCTTCAATTTCTTTTGATATTCCTGGCCAATATAATATTTCTCTTACTTTAATCTTGCATTTTACTACTCCTAAATAACCATAATGAATTTTACTTAACATATCTTTTCGTAAACTTCTTGGTACAACACAATTTTTAAATATTTCCATTTGTTTCTGATAGTTTTTCTCTGAAGTTAAAATATAGTTTTGCCAGTTCTGGAACCATACATTTTTCATCTGGCCATCCAGTTTTAATTAATTTTCTTAAAACTTATAGTTCTTCATCTTTTTCTGTTTCCAGTTGAAAAACTTCCTTTAGGCATTGGTATAAATTCTACAACCGATCGAACATGGGCTTCTATGTCTCCTTCAAAGAAATCAGATCCTTTATCAGCGAATGATCTTTATAATGCATCCGCTATAAAAAGTTCCTCCCTGGTTTATATTTTATCTCAAACTGATTTGGCTGTAATCTTATACGCATTCTTTGTAATCTTACTGGGCATTTAATTAATGGCTTTTTGAAAATTGATTCCAATGGCTTACAGTCACTTTCCACTGTAATATATTTTCTAAATATATACTGGTGAAATTTCTCCCACGAAAATACAATAGCTAAAGTTTGTAGAGTCTTTAGGTTAATTAGAAGCAGAAAAGATGAAAAATATGCAACCGCCTTCGCCGGGAATCGAACCACGGAACTCTGAAATACCGGCTCAGTGTGCAGAACCATTACACCACGAAGGCACGCTAGGGAAGTGGGAGAAATACCTTATAAGTTTCCTTTTCAATTTGAGCACAATTCTTCTGTGTATCTGTTAATGCTTTAGATGCATATGCTACTGGCAAATTTTTCTGCAATAAGACTGCTCCTAGTCCTTCTTGAGATGCATCTACTAATAAAACTGCCGGCTTATTTATATCATAATACTGTAAAATTGGTTTATTTACTAAGACATTTTTTAGTCTTCTAAATGCTTTTTCGTGTGTCGCATTCCAGTTCCAGATAACTTGTTTTTTCAACAAATCTCTTAGACATGATGTCAATTCTGATATAATAGAAACATATATAATCATTCCTAGGAAATTTTCTAATTCTTTGACATTTTTTGGTAGTTTTTATATCTAGAATAACCTTTAATTTGTCTTCATCTGGTTTTAAACCATCTTTAGGAAATATATGTTCCATATATTTCACTTAATTGAGCCCAAATTTACATTTATTTAAATTAAATTTAACATTCTTTTCTCTGGTTCTGTCCAACAACTTCTTTAATCTTAAATCATGTTCTTTTTATCTTTACCCCAAACTAATAAGTCATCTACATATATTTTAACTCCTAAATCACTAAAAATGTCAAAATTTTAGTTGCGAATTTACTTTATTTAATACTCCTTTTGGTAAATATTGTT